TGGGGCCCAAATGGGGCTCCCATTTACTGAAATACCATGAATTTCGATCCCCCATTCCAAACGTGAGTACTCCAGGCCATTTCCGTTACAGTATGTTACCGAACCTAACCGTTGGTTGACTATCTTTAAGCTTAATTCTTATGACTTCTGACCAAACATCTAATGACTGAATTCTGCTTTCTGCTGAGGCATATTTTATAGTTAAATTATGCTGATCCTAGCAGAAATGATACTACGTCTTCATTTATAAGAATAGTCTGCATAAGTGACCATATAATTGTATCTAGATATGCGTTTGTTTGTATTTCTAACATAATTTAGTTTCACTATCACATTTGACTTGCTATAGTTGTCTCTTAAAAGTCGTTTCTCTTGAAAAACCTTCAAACCTTGGCCGTCATATTCATAATTTCAAATCGAAACTGACCGCGCACAAAACTCTAAATCAAATAACCATTTGTATAACGAAAAGTTCTGATATATGCAAAATCAACAAATTTAAATGCAACCCACATGCCTCACTTACTCTCGACAAAGCTGAATTTCAAACGGTCCAACAATTTTGTTAAATACCTATTTTGATGAAACCATAGACGTACATCTTCTGATATCAGCAATACCGTGACTTGAAATTGATGAAAGGAAAAACGTTTTATGAAGATGCTTAAATGTCCGAGTTACAGAGTGAACTTAAAAATAAGAAAAACCAGCTGAAAAATTGACAATTCCTCAAATGCAACTCGTCACATATTTTAAATAGTTTCTTCTGGAAAATTTATCTGCTGCCAATATACATAAATCTATATTTTGGAGGTCTGAAACCGAGCAATAGCAATTTCGAATAATAAATAGCAGCAGCAGAAAGACCAAATATAATTTCAATTGAGATAATCTGTAAAAAGTAAGTAAATAGTAAATAAAAAAGTAAGATAAGAATAAATAAAATAATTTAATTGATACAAAAAATCTGAGAACTGCTTAAAATATAGTTGTATTTCTTATACCGTACGGTATAATCTTCTAATTTGTAAAGTTTCGTTTTTAAATAAAGTTTTTATCGATTAAATCAAATTCTATAATTTTCCCATGAAAATTGTTTTACAAAATGTGAAAACAAAAAAATTGTCAATCACTATAGAATTTTTTAAACAGTTGAACTCAGGTTGTCAATTTTTGTTGCAGAAATCGCTACCACTGACTAAGCGAATTTTTATGTAAAGTTATTTTAACCCATCTGGCTCTATAGGGCTCAGAATGTAAGGGTCCAGATGATTTCACCGAAATTTTAACATGGGCATCCAAGCAATGTCGGCCGAATGTAAAAAATGACAAAGATTGGGTTGACGATAGAAAATACTTTTCCCAAATTCCTACATTGATAAGTCGGGCGTAAAATGTAAAAAATAATAAATTAGTTTTTTCAATGTGAAATTTATAGCTAGGATTAATAGTAAATCTATTTAATATGCATATTAATTTTCCCACTGCATTTTGAAGAGACAGAACATACTTAATTTGATTTATGATTAATCACAACTATTATCTTAAAAAAATACTCATTCAAGTCGCGATTATTTAATCATTTAGTGTACATATTGTAGCGTCTTTTGCTAGATCATATGTGAACCTGTTCTCGAGTGCATATCATCCATTTAGCTGTGCCACCCAATATCAACAAATCAGTTACTTAATATTCCATGAAACACTTATTTAGTAACAACATGTACGCTCAAGATTATTATTTGTAATCACGGAAACGTTTGTGCAAATATGACAAAATTGCTGTTATCTACTAAAAGTATTCTAAATCAATAAAGTGTTATTGTAACCAAATCATGAGTACTATGCACTTTTCGGCTCAAACATTTCTTCGTCGAGAATTCCCCATGTCGGTCGAATGCTTCTCCCCCTTTGAAAGATACTTATATTAACAGTGCTAACTAGAAGAAATTCTGTTCTTCTGCAAATTACGTATTCATAAGTTTTGCCTTTGTACGATAAGGCTGCGCTTACTTAACAGTAAATTGACGGAAATTTATTATTCTTTGTGTCATGTTAAATAACGAAATTTCTTAAAGGCTCTTTATTTTATACAGCGGGAGCTCTTCGTAAAACTTATTGGAATTATGTGAACTTGTTTTGTTCAGGTGCTAAATTTGATTTCAGCAGAATATATGCTCACTCATTTAAATCTTATTTAACTGAAACTGTAGCGCAAATCCTGTGTAAATCGTATAGCAATAAACATCGATTGTTTCCTTTATAAGCAATACAAAATGAAATATAATAATTGCTGTTATGAATTTATATTATAATAGATTTCATTCGCCTCTTCGCTTTCAACCTTCAGCTCTTTTAAATTTTAGATACACTCTTTTATCACAAATTTTCTGCAGGTGTGCTTATTGCGGTGCCTTGAATATTTCAGTTGTTATGTCCCAGGAAGGTGTCAAAATTATCTTTTGATAATGTGATACTCTTTAGAATAAACTCTACAAAACTGCTTTATCTGCAAAAATATTGTCAATCGCTGAATTGAATCGCAAAAATCAAAATTAACCTATGATACACTAACCACACAAGAAGGTATGCAAAATATCGTCATATTAAAAATTCGTGTTACCTGTTTGACCATAATACGAATACTTAATAGAATTATAGTTAATTGCGCTTGCAAAAACACGGTAAACGTTATACTTAAAGAAAATATTTTATGACTTAATATAAGTCTTATTGTCTTAAAAGCTTGCATATTTAACTTGTTTCTTGACATTAAGCATTAAACATTGACATTAAGCACTTGACATTAAACTGTATGTTCAAAATTCTGCAAATCAGCATATTCAGGTAGCCGAAACGAAATCGTGTTACATACAGGATGATTCAAAATTGACGTCATTCCTCTGGAGGTGTTGTCTGGGGATGTTTTAGAACTAGGTACAGAAAAAAATAGTAAAAACATCATTGTTATTAAAAACTTAGAAATTTGCAAAAAGTTATATCAGAAAGACCGCAACATTGTTTCTCAATGTAATCTATCTAATTCACTTTACGCTGTTGACTTTAAATAAGCCACACTATTGAAAGTGGTCAAATCTTCACCATAATAAACACGCACTCTAGTACTCAATTTTATTATTAATTGGTGAGTTGATTTGTCCAAAATGTTTTAATCAAAAAACTGAAAAATAAACCTAAACTTTCGATGATAGGAGTGTTCTAAGCAGGATGGTGGATTATTCGACTTAGACAACGTTATAACGTAAACTCAGACAACTTTATTAAACATTTAAAAAATTACATTTTTATTGTTTTATCACACAGCTGATATTTCCTTTCAGAAATCTACATAAAGAAGGG